GGGTAGGTGGATGGATGGATGGATAAATGAATGGCTGGATAGATGTGTATGTGGATGGACAGATGGACGATGGATGAATAGTTGGGTGGAATGATGGGTGAGTGAATGCATGGATGGTGGATGGCTGAGTGGTTGGATGATTGCATGAATGGCTGGATGAATGAATGTTGGATGCATGGATGGATGGATGGTGGATGGAGGGGTGGAGGAATGGAGGAATGGTATAAGTGGATAGATGCCTGGGTGGATAGATCCAATGCATAGATGGATAGATAGTGGGTGGGTGGATGGATGGATGGATGGATGGATGATGGCGGATGGATGGATGGATGGGTAGATAAGTGGATCGATGCGTGGGTGGATGAATGTTGACTAGATGGATAGATGGATGGAGGATGGGTGGATATAGACAGATAAGCTAGAAAGGTAGATATCAGATGACTATAGAGGCACACACTCATCTTTACATATACATGCATGTACACACATGTATTCCCATACATATCTTCCATGCAAATACATGTGTTTTCAAGCATGTATTTCTTAGGACTTTCCTAAATTTCAGTTTTCTGAGACATTCCAATCTGAGCTACCTCCTGCTTCATCCCTTGCCCCTTCCTCTCTGCCCACAGATGTCCAGTCACTAAATTCTGCCAGTCCAGCTTCCACAGGTTGGTCAGTTACTGACTTCTCTTTATCACCTCCACCCCCTTGACAGGCATTGTCTTGCTGGCATCCTTAGGTGTCAGGAGGGGTGTCAGACTCCTGCTTTGCGTCTGGCCCCTCTGTGACCTCACCACGAGGCTGCCATCTTTCTGACACATAAGCCTAACCCCCTAAGTTCTTGACATAATCCTGGGTTTACCTCAAGCACTGTGGACACATGGGCCGGTGCTTCTCTGGGGTGGGGCCATTCTGAGCACTGCCGGGTACTGAGCAGCATCCCATGCCACTCCATGCCAGGAGCCTCCCCTCCAAGTTGTGACAACCACAGATGTCCCCAGACATTGCCCAGTGTCACCCAGGGGCCAGGAACAGCCCCATGTAAGGACCACTGGGTTGGAGGTTTCACCACAGAGAGTTGCAGCAGCAGGAAGACACCAGAAGGAGCCGGGTGTGGAGGCTCATGCCTGTAATCCCAGCACTTTGGGAGGCCAAGGTGGGTGGATGACGAGGTCAACTGATCGAGACCATCCTGGCAGTGAAACCCCTGTATCTACTAAAAATACAAAAATTAGCTGGGCGTGGTGGTG